ATTCTTTATACAGAGTATCAGTATGCGGCGGAGAGCTTACGCTTTGATTAATCAGCCGTAAGTATATTTGTTGTGCCCGACAAATGAACTTGTTCCCTGAAAATGAGAGTAATTCTCTAATATGTCACCAATGGTGGAAAGAAATGAAAAAAATTATATTTGATAAATTGTTGCATTGTTTTTATTTTATTGATGTCAATATGCATAAAAACCACAAACTCACTAGACTCTATGTTTACCTATTAGAATGTTTAAATGTACTCAACCAAGGAAATAACGTAGCAAGTGGCAGCGGGAATGGAAATGATAAACTTCAGACTTGAAGAAGACGACAAGTTTTGAGGACGTAACACACCAAATGTTTATTTAAATTTCTATTTTTTCGGCTATTATTATTAATTATGATATTAGTATTTGGATTCCGGATATTAGAGGTTTTTGAGACCAAGTTAAGATAATATTTGTATTTGAAATTTTGGCGTATCAGCATTAAAGGCAATAAATAATATTTAAGACTTCTGCTAAGACTCATTTTTATAATTGAATATGTAATATAACGTGTTGAAAACTTATACTTTGGATAAATAAAAATGAAAAATTTTCTTGTGAAAAAATCGAGACGTTACAATGAATCTGCACAAACTCATAGTGTGAATCTACACTGATTCAGAGTATGAATCTACACATATTCACAGCGTGAATCTAAACAGATCGAAAATGTAAAAAAAAAAAAAAAAAAAAAAAAAAAAAAACTACATTGAAATTGAAATCAATGGAAAGAGGATAAAAATTATGAATTTATGTATTTTTACTTTTTTTATTGAAAAAAAAAATAAGCTGTAAAAGTTAAGAAAATATTGATTCCTTGGTTCTAAGATTGAATATATATATATATATATATATATATATATATATATATATATATATATATATATATATATATATATATATATATATATATATATATGATCCGGATCTGATAGGAACAAAAAAATTAATATGAACCGCAAAAACTATTCTCCACTAATAATTGCGTCAAGCGCCCAAACGTCAAACCATTACTTAGTCGTGACACGTTCACATGCGATGCACGTCCATGGAACGTCATACGGCCTCAAGAGAATAATAATGTGTAACGAGCGCTCATGGAACGTCATTTAAATGACTTTTTATTTTATTTTTCCTTTTTTACTTATTTTATTATTTTATATTTTTAAATTTTAAATAAAAAACTTTTGAGGTTATAGTGTATTCGGTTTTGAAGTTTTTTTTTTGTCGTTTTTTACTTTGTTATTGTTTTTTTTTACTTGTAAAAAAAACTTTTTTTGTTTAATATATACTAGTTTTTTTTTTTTTCGGTTTATCATATTTTTCGGTTCTTTTTTCTTTTTTTCTATTTTTTTCATTTTATTGTTTCGAATTATACATCAGTTCGAGTTTGTGATGTTTAACCATTATAAAATGTTTCGAATCTTAACAATATTATCAATCATATATTTTTTTGGATCATATTAATTGGATCATATCATTTTGAATCATAGTAATTTGGATCATATAATTTATGAATTATATGATTTTTGATCATAAGAAATTGAATTAAATAAATTTTTGTTTAATATAATATTTGAATCATTATATTTTTTGAATTATTCAATTTTGAATCATAAAAAATATAATAATTAAGAATTATAAAATATTTGAATCAAAATATTTTTAGATTATAACAAGTTAAGGATCATAAACATACTAAATTATAATATTTTGATTCATAAATATTTTGAACAATTTCTATTTGGATCTTATTTTGTTCCACATTTTTTTAATCTTTTAATCTTTTAAAACAAAGTTCGATATGTAAAATACCATTTTTTTTACAAAATAATTTGAATAGTGCGTAAAAGTATTCCTTAATTTTTTATAATTTTTGGAGAAATTTTCTTTTTTGGTTTTTTTATAAATATAAAAAGTTATTTTTGTTTTCACATTTTTATGATTGTACTTATTTTGTAAAAAATTAAATTCTAAGAATTTTGGTTTGTTCATAATTTTTTATTTCAAAGAAAAAAAGAGTTAACGGTCAAAAAATTAAACTAGAAGAAAAAAACTCACTGGCCAAGAAGGGTTATTTACTTGTAATGCTAGAGATGAGGACATCTATCATCACCTAGAGATGCTACATGAGCTGAATTTTCAGGTTTTTTTTTTCTTTTAATCTTTTTGTTTTTGTCAGTTGTATCTTCGAAACAATTAACATTCATCGGAAATAATCAAAATCTTGTAAGTAATTACCAAAATGTCATATAATCTACCAAAATTTTGATTATTAATAAAATATAATATTGACCATTTATTTTTTCAATTTTAAGACAAAAAATTGTATTCAAAGTTTCCATCATTTTCTGAGTTCTTATTTGATCTTACTTGTATTGTATTTACACACCCATTTCCTAGTTGGATTTATATGTCTCACGCTTCGTTAACAGCATAATGAATCAACATTCATTATTTGAGTTGCTGAGAATCATTCGTAATATGAGGATTAACCGAGAATCAATCGTAAGATGTGGATTTCTATCTTCGTGTGAAAAAAAGTCATTTTTCACTCGCAAATTCGTTTCATGTTTTCTATTCTTAAAAATAGTTATATACTTGAACTTTATAATTATCATATATATAACACATCTCATGAGTTTAAAATCAATAATTTAGTTGGGCATATTTAGTGAATTAACATATATACGTTTAAAAAAAAGGAAAAAATTTCGTTCATTACAATTTCGTTCTTCAAAGTTTTCTATAAATAATAATTAAGAACTATTGTATTATAAATCCAAAAAGAGTGTGATGTTATAAACAAAATAACGCATCGTATAAGTTGTAATATATAAATATTACGAGTTGGTAAAAACTAAAATACATCCGTAAAATATTAATTTTTGTTCTAAAAAAGTGCTTAATTGATTCAAGAGTTTCATTTGTGTGCCATACGGTTTTCTTCAATAAGTGACTAATACAAATAATTCCCAACGAGATTAGACTTGTCAGTTTTTTTAAACGGCTACATATTAATAAAGGAAAAACCGACTCGAGGCTGGGAAGCAAGTACAAATAGGCATCAAAACACGATTTTGGTTTCTTATATCTATAAAATGATTTATTGTTGCTTACTTGCTTTTAGCTAGGGAATCTTTTCTAATGTAAACATGATATGCATGTAACACGCAACGTCATTTTTTAATACATTTTGAATAATTACTTATTATCATGCAAAAAAAAAAAAAAAAAAAAAATGAAAGGGACAAGATGAAATAGGAAGATTTGGAATCAAGGAAGCATGACCCTTTAGTTTTAAGCTATACATTCATAATCATGATCCTGTTTGGAATGTGTATATAAATAATACTTACTAAAGACTAGCACAACTCCACGAGGTAAATGTGCAAACGTTACTTTTTTTGGTTTTTTTTGTTTTTTTTTTTTGAATGGAAACACAACAGCTGTAAAAGTATAAAACATCCATAAAATATTATATTTGTTCTAAAAAATTACTTAATGGATACAATAATTTCATTTGTCACCCTTTCAACCCGACTCAATTTTTCTTCAATAGTTGAGAATTACAAATGAAACCGATCGAGATTAGACTTGTCTGATTTTTGTTATTATATCTTTAAAACACTATTAGAAAAAAGGCTTTCCTTGACAGAGATTGTCTGTCGTAAATGCCTATACATGACAAACAAACATCTGTCATTGAAAACCATGTCATAAAGGATAATGATAGGCATTTGGCCTGTTATAAATTTTACGACAGACATTTATGACCCACAATTACGACATACATACATGACACACGTTTTCGACATACATTTACAATCGGTTTTGTATGTCGTAATATGTAACATTCTTGCAATTATGACAAACATTTATGACATTCTATACGACATGATTTTTGACATAGTTTTACGACATTTTGTATGTCATGGCGTTTTATATATATATATATATATATATATATATATATATATATATATATATATTCTTAATTTGTACCAGATATTAAACAAACTAAATTACACATTTAATGTCTAATAATGCAAAATAAGATATCATACATATACAAAAATACATTCCATTATACTAACCATAATGTCAAAAGGTTCTCTTGCAATTTTGGTTTTCATTTGAATTTTGTAAAGTTTTGGTTCCGTCGGAATCACTGATTCCAATTCTGTCGTAATCGCTGATTCTAGTTCCACCTTCAGATATAATTAAATTCTATTGATTTGATAGTGGAATGGAATCATAGATTCTGATTCCAACATAATCATAGATTCCGATTCCATTAGAATCACTGATTATGGTTCCCCCTTCAGATAGAATTAAACTCCGTTTATTTGGCATTGGAATGGAATCACATCACCTAAACACACACAAACACGCACACACACCTACAAGATATTGAAGGGCAACAGAAACACGACAAATAGAAGGAATGTCAGAGGGATCTCGGGCAGTCAAAAGGGCAACATTCTTTTTGTAGCAATGACAGCATCAGGTCCAATAGAGCCACCCATTGCATCCAATAGTGCTTGTGGGGTTGATGGAAGCATGTAAAGGGTATTATCGGAATTTCGATAAATCAATCAAATCTTTTGCAGCATTTGATATGTCAATCACAACTTTACAAGCTGGAATAATTGTACTCGATGCATAGTCTCCTGCAGCTAATGGTTGTTGACTTTATCCATTTTTCCACACATGCAGATTCTTGTCGCCAAATACATATGTAATTATGGTGTTTGTATCATCCAACATAAACATATGATTCACAAGACCCTAACGAAAAGTAAAAAAAATCATCAGAACTGCAGTAATCACTTTAAAAATGTGCATACAAAAGGTAGGAACATACAACATCTGTTGAAAACTTAAGTAGTTCTTTTCCATCATCTAAGGTGAGAACTTTGATCTTGGTATTTGATGCAGCTAATATTTTATCATCTATCATTACAAGAAAACAAACGTTAGAAGAAAAAGGTTAAGACAATTTAAGGACCATGTGTTGGGAAGACTCGCCAGAAAAATATATACAGATGAAGAGATAAGTTTATTTGAGATTTTCATTTCTTTTAACAGTTCACAAGTTTCAGAGTTCATTTCACATGTTGTTCCATCTGTACTTATAGCACAAAGTTTACGCCCTTTGTTTTCAAAAGAAAGAGCAGCAATTCAACTGCACATGGAAAACTTTTGAGCTTCAAGTATTACTCCAAATTTGGTTATTTTAACCATCAATAATCAGAAAATTTATGATCATATCATCTTATTATTTTTCCTAGCATACCTATGATAATATGCATAAGATTTCCATTTTAACTCTGCAGAAGTGGCATTAATGGTGAAGACTTCACCATCATTTGTTCCCAGTGCCACCAAACAAGTACTATTTTCTTTTCTACGCTGAGAATTAAGAGGGGGAAGAAGAAATAAGGGATTATGGAGCCGGATATGAAACTATTAAGGCAAAAATGGAGTGTGAGAATTGAGATTTTCAATGCACATGCACTATAGAATATTCAAACATAACTCGATGGTTTTGGATCCCAAATTATATTCAATCCAACTTTTTTTAGATTATATTAATAAAACTACCTGCAATTCTTGAAAGATAACTGAGATTGATTCATCTGTAGCAATGGAAGAAAGGATCTCAAGTTTTAGAGATTTGACTTGATATGCGTATGAAGTGTTTGTAAAGAGGTCTTCAAAATTTGGAGCAAAAAGAGAAGGCATCACTTTTGTAAAGACTTGAATGTTGCAGAGAACCTGTGTTAATTGCAAAAACCTACTTCAAATAGTATAATAAATATGATTAAAATAGTTTACACTAATTTTAATATTGGTTTTAATGTTGCAGAGGACCTATGTCAGTTGCAGAGGACTGGATTTTTTTGAATCTTAGAGAAGGATGAATGCTTAAAATTGGGACAGATACACCCGAAAGATCAATCTCTCATTGAGAGAGTCATTCATGATTGTTGTTACCAACATCTTCATCCCACCTCACCTGTTGAAATGGGTTTGAAATTTAAAGAATGAAAGTATAAAATAATAAAACTAGTTATGAGGTTGACATGTGAAGTACCATTATGCATCTCCATTTTGATTTAGACCATTTGTAAGGAACTAAGGATCCATGTCACTTACTCCAGTAACATGGATTATCTTCACCTTTGAATTGACTACTCCAAATCCATAATCTGTAAGAAATGTCAAATGTCAGGTTGCATTAAATCAGGAAAGCTAATAAGTAATAACACTAATTGCATATTCCAAAACGAAGTATGTGTTAGTAGTAACTAATATCCATATTAACGAAATTAAGGAGTATCTCCAATCTAGCTCTGTTATTACTCATATCAACATGAGATTTCTGAGTAATCAGAGATGAAAAATTATCCATTGCTTCATCACAGGCCGAGATACTACTGGAAATGTAAGGATGGTTGAAAAGAAGTAGAGTGAAACTGTAAAAGGTGATTGATTGTGTACCTTTGATGACAACATCTACGATGATTTGAATGGGATTAGCATCGGTTAACGGATGGATGATTTGTATTGCGTGTTTGAATATGCGAACAACCACGACATTTTTATCATTGTTTCTCCCATGAATCATGAGAAAGTTGGTTAATCGCTCCACAATTGGGCATTGAGCCTTTATGAACCACCTTGCTTGGTACCTTCCAGTTTTGTGAGGCATGTAGATTGGGTGCTTTGATGCAGTAGCAGTACAGAAAGATTAGGAACCTGTTTACAGAATTTGCATATTATTCTAAATCAACCAGATCAAGATTGATGTTCATGAGCTAGAATCACAATATAGTGAGCTTAATTTCACACAACCATTGAAGAAATTAACAGGAAGCACATATGCTAAAACACTTTACACAAACAAACATCTACTAATACCGGTGAATTTAGATTAATCGGTTAAGAAGATAACCTGAACGTCATCGTAGGTCCGACGGTTAAAAAGCAAGATATTGTTGCGAGCCTTCCTGTCATCAACAATAGGTACGATGATCCCCATTGCTTACGATTCTTACTCAAACTGTAAAGCAAAATCCTTTGTGATTCACGAATCGGTGGAAGGAATGACAATGGCGTGACTGGTGGGGTAGTGGAAAGTCGGCGAGTGGTGAACGAGGATGGAAATAGCAAGGCAACGAGTTGATTTCTTGAGCGGGGAAACCCTAATCGATCGATGCTTTCTTTGATTTGATGGAAACGGTGAGGTGATTTTGAATGGTAATACGAGATTTGAGGGTATCACCGTGTCTGAGCCTTCCAGTGAATTGTTACAATAAGAAGCCCCACCAATCTTACAATGTACGATACTACCCTTTTATTTCTCTTTTATTCCCTTTTCACTCCCTTGAGATATGATATATGCTTCAAAGGAAGATATATAGTCTATGGAAATATGACTTGCAAAAGTGAATTTCATCGTGACCCAAGTTTACTCCTTTATTTTATAAGTCATATCTTTTTTGGAACATTTCTTTGTGCATTGTTAAAAGAGTTAAGTAATGGATCAATATAGGTTCCATGTAAAAAATATAACTTTTTATTTAGTTGACTGTTTTGGATATAAGGATTTCAATATAATTTAGACAACTTATGGATCATCCTCCATTTTCATAGTACCTTTTCTTCGTTTTACATATTTTAAATAGATAGTCATTTTATCTATATGATGACACTCGTAGCATTCTCCTTACATAGTCAAGATACTCACCGACAACTATAAGTAAAACGTACAACTTTTTTTCTTCCTTGCAACTTTTAACAAATAACGACTATACAGCTTCTATCAAACTTTATAAAAAAAAACCCTATATTAAAATTATATAACACCTAAGATAATATATATATATATATATATATAATATATATATATATATATATATATATATATACATATATATATATATATATATATATATATAATAAATTATTCTATATTATCTTAAAATTTATAGTTATTCCTAGATTTCTTTGGATTGAATTTTAATTTTCAAAAACATCTTTCTATTAAGTTACATTATGTATCCTTTTAATTTTAACTTTTTCTTTTAATATTAAAGGATAAAATGCAATTTAATTTACTCTATAAAATACGACATAAATTATGACAGACATTTCTGTCTGTCCTGAATCATTGAAATTTCACAAAATATGACATAAGTTTTATGACAGACTTTTATGCCTGTCATAGAAATGCTGTATGTCGTAATTCGTTTGTCAAGAAAATCCTTTTTTCTAGTAGTGAAATGATTTATTGTTGCTTTTAGGAAATCTCATCTTATATCTTTAAATTTATCTAACATGAATAGAATAGTAACATGTTATAAAGCTTAGACTAGGAAGGAGAACTATGATTTATTGTTGCTTTTAAATATACTGTAACTTGGTTAAGACTACTTATTCTAAATAATCCTCTATTAAAAAGTCATTTTTGACACTTATTGTCTCTAAACTGCCTAGTCTGAATATGCGGGCGTTACAATTATCTCCCCCTTAGGATGATTACGTCCCCAAATCATCAACGAAATAGGGTTTGTATAATGACTCCACATGTTATCTCTTAATCCTTGGTGATAACCGTAACTTCTATGTTCCTTCAAATTAATATCTAACTCTTGGACTTCTTTCACTGCAGGCGGTGCTCGATCTCGAACCCACTCTCTACCTCATGTTAGACTTTCAATCATGACCTTCAAGTCACAATCTTGATCCTTGTTGTAGTCTCCTTCTTCTTCTTAACAAACTTGAGATAAGTTCTTTGATTACCAAAATGTACCGATGGGTCACATTCCAATGACCTCTCATCGTATGATGCAACACTTAGAGTTAGGTATTTTTATAGTCAATTTCCAGAACAAATTACACCTTCCATCATGTTCTAATGTAAGATAATCACATTCTAGAAGTTTCTCACTTTAACGGAGATTCGCGATACTTCTATTCATCGCTTCGATTTCACTTAAACCTTCTGGATTAAGTCATATGCTACATCGATCTTGGTTCTCTGAGCCATGTAACATACTTGTCTTATTCGGACTCGATTTGATATAAATGCTAGGGTCGAAATGATAGTTATCTTCTTAGTCATTACCGAAACAATGGTAATGACATACATGAACAAAACGGAATCAATTAGTAGCTTCTTGGTAACCTTGTGACTTTCCCTGATCCAAGTACGAGTCATGTACATCCGATAGTATAGGCCTCTACTACCATTCACACCTACTCATACTCGTCCCAAGTATTGTCTTGCAGTTTTCCAAGTCACCATACAAGAAAATCACATAAGAACTTAACACACCAGATAACAAAATGAAGGTTTTATATTATTCCTTGAAACGATTACATAGGTCTTCAAGTTCAACTTATACTATGCCTCTAATAGGCTACACCTCCTGGCTACTTCATATCTTGATCTTTAGATATGAAGCCCTCATCCTTGATTCCTCGCGTTGTTATTTGCTTCGTCGAGGATCATGTGGAATTCCCTTGGCCTTGGTGGTGTATTTGCCCTTACTGCTTTATTTTTCCTCGGGCAGTCTTTGGACATGTGCCCCTTGCCTCCACATCCATAGCATACCTTATCATTATGTGTGTAGTCCTTGGAATAGTGACTGGTCTTCCCACACTTTTAACAAGTCACTTCTTCATTGTATCTCCCACTATGCTTCTTTTTGCAATTATCACACCATCTCGCATCACCTCTTTCTCCTCCTCCAAGCTTCTAGAATTTTCTCTCCTTGTTGGACCTTGAAGATCCTTCAAAGTTCCTCTTTTCTCCTACCTTATCTTTTTCTAGGTTCCTCTTTTCTCCTACCTTATCTTTTTCTAGGCCCTTTTCTATTATCCAGGTCTCTATTTTCTTAGTTGATCTAACGGTTGTTTTAAAAGTAGTTGCCATTTTGACCATTGGGCCAAAGTCTATGGGCAGTCCGTTACCAAACCTATCAATCCCGGAGAGTTTAGTAGCACCAAGTAGGGAAATAGCTTCATCCTCTCGATGAATGCGGTGGCATACTCATCAACACTCATCTTCCCTTTCTTCAGGTTCTAAAACTCGTTGTTTAGGTCTATCAGATCCATCTCTGAGCAATACTGCATTTTTAACTGCTCCGTGAATGCTTCCCAAGACATTCATATGACTTCTCTAAAAATTGTACTTCAACATCCTACTCAACAGATGATTGAAACGATTGACAGTCTGTTTGAGATTCTCTTCTGGCTTTTGTACGAATGACCCATATTCTGACAAGAGAATAGTCTACAGGGAATGTTCCAAATCGTCATCACAAAATTACAGCTCCTTCAGTCTATCCCAAATCCACTATTGTGGTATCGTACAAATTCACCAAACGAAAAGTGTCTGGAAGGAGAGCAAATCTGATGATTCTCATAGCCTTCAGATTGCACATTAACTTGTCCTTCTCATCGTTAGTGTTTTCTGTGTCATCAGCAATAATAGCATCATACTGAGCTTGAGTTTAAACCTTTTCTCTATTTCCAGAATATGTGTATGTCTCACAATCATAGCATGCTAGGTGCTAGACCCATGAGTTTCAATCCCAAACACGTAATTCTAAAAGTGAAGAGCTCAGACTTCATAATCTTTTGGGAAAAGGATTCGAATCATAGTAGTTGATCTGATACGACTGGGAAGATTGAATGAGAATGAATGAAGGTCGTCCTTTGACATTTTGAGAGATTTCAATCAAAAACTTAATATAGAACCATATATGTAACCAAAAATCGAGTTTTGGGAAAAATAGGGAAATCGGATCAATGATCTACAATCAATTTGCAAAGATGTAAGTGCAAATTGCGGAAATGATTGACATAAGACAAAAACAAATCTGAGAAAACTTTGAAAAACCCTAAACAAAAATCGTCTTTCGCTCAACAGAGAATAGTGACTGATTACACTATCTCCTGTTCTAATACCAATTGATAAGGCCGATAGATTTTATATTCAATATGAAATAATAAAATGATTCAGTTAACAAGAACGATGTGAAGTGAAATGAGCTTAATCTTCAATTTAAAAAGCACAAAGAATAGTTCGCAATTCGGAACTATTCTATAAGTGTTGGAAGGTTACAAAAGGATCGATACAAAACAAAGAGAACAGTGCGCTATATATAGACCTACAGAGCAAGGATTCTGAATATGGATAGGCCCATATCAAAATCGAAATACATACACAAAATTCTGAATACAACCAATTGACACAACAAATATAATTTTACCAATTACCCTATGAAGTCAATTTTCCCATCTTACCTAGGGTAATCGGTCTTAAAGACTGAATGTGTACAGTATAAACATGTTGAAGGGATAAATATGAACAAAAAAACACAATGATCAAATGTATACAGATCGAAAAACATATTTATCTTTTGAGTCATACCCTAACTAAAACTATACTGGCAAAAAGTGTAGTTTTGGAAAACTAAAACTAGAAAAGACCAAAAATGTAACTCATGCAAACTAAAAATTTCAAGAACCAAAAATATAATTAGTAATGTTAAAATTATAGGAACTAAAAGTGTCTTTATTTTCTATACAGATCAAAAATGTAATTTCAATTTTTAATAATATAAGGATCAAAATTATAATTTATGCAAATTAAAATTTACATAGAATAAAAATACAATTCCAGAAAAGTTCAAACTACAAGATCACCTATAAATTAAAAGGCCAAAAAAAAATTAATTAATTAAAAAAAATCAAACCGACATCTTTTTACGGCAAGATTTTGACTGAAAAATTCGTCACGTTTTTTTCACCAGTTAGGTATCAATTTCTTAGTTTGAAAAAAAAAGGCATATATCTATGTTTATTGCATTATATAAATTAATAAAATCTAGAGAAATAAAAAAAATTAAACCGTAAACGTCAAGAGAAATATAAAAGAATTCAAAGAACATTTAAAGGAGAGAATGATGTCCTAAGTACCATTAACTTGTTAGTTGCCATGCCCTTATTCTCATATCAAACACCTTTTAC